TTTTGATTGCTATGTTATTATCATTTTCTTGATTTATATTTTTTTAATATTTATTTTCATTTGATTTTTTATTTAGTTTTGGTCTTCATTCTTTTATTAACTTGTTTTTAACCTTTTCTTTGTTTTTGTTTTTAATTTAGCCCATAATTATTTTTTTATTTTTTTATAATTATTTTGATAATTTTAACATGAAAGTATTAAAAATACAAGAATATTATACTGCTCACATGTTGCTATATGGAACTTCTTGATATTGTTATTAATTTCAATAACTTGCTTTTCTGGTTATGATAAGATATCAAAAAAATAAATATTCTTGTCAAAAATGTTAAAAAAATAAAGAACATTAAGAGGATAAATATTTTTAATTTGAGAGATTTTTTTTTCTTATTTCAAATCTTCCAAGATTATTTTGAAATTTATTTTCATTGATTTTTATTTTTACTAAATAAATAACATAGAACACAAAAAAAATATTTTCATTTGAAAAAAAATAATTATCTTAGCAAATTATTTTATTCAACGGAATTTAAATTATTATTCTTTTAAGAAATATTTATTTTCATGTACTTAAATAAAGCAATTTGAAGGGATCAATGTGCATGATATTATATATCTTAAGATATATCAACATCCCAGTTTAAATTCTGATTTATTTTTTATTTGGCTTTAACAATATTTTTTAACACATATAATTTTTTTGTTTTTTTATTAAACACACACATTAAATTTTTAATTTTTAATTATTTTTTTAATATTATAAAATACATTAAAAATGATTTCATAGTTTTTTTTATCTTAAAAAGAATTTTTGGTGTGATCCAAAAAGTTAGGGTTAACCAGCTAGTTTTATCGAAATTACGAAAAGGAAAAAAAATTCGTTATTACCATTTACCCTTACAGGCTCACCTTATACTCACTCAGTCACACGAGATTTTCGTCTTGTTGGACTTTAAGTTAAAATGGATCAGGACAATCCAATCCCAGAACAATAATATGCATCCAACAATAGCCAAACAGAAGGAATTTCTAAATTTTCAACTCCTAGTCCCAGCGAATCAAGCCAAACCAAGCGAGACCAACGAAGAAGAAAGGAAAAAAAGCAAAAAAAAAAAGAAGAAGAAGAAGCTCCAGAGCTGAATTGATTCTAGGTAGAAGAAGATTGAAATGGAAGAGGCTAAAGAACTGGCGTCGAGTTCACTGAGTCAAGATCTGAACCACCATGGTTCAGACCCTGATGACATCCCCAAGTCCCCTCCTGGGTCCCCCAATTCCTCTACTCGCAAGGTAACTCTAACACTAATACAGCAACACTCTTATACACAATCTCATTGCATCAATCCCCAAATACTGAACTAAATAGATAGATCGTCATGTTTTGCTTGTGGATTTTGGTTTTCAAGTTATGTTTAATTATATTTTATTATTTTAATTAATCACACTTAAGTATGCCATTAAAGTGTGTTTTGTTTGCTTGATAAATCAGGCTTGCTATGCTGTTCTTCAAAGTTGGGCCTCTAAGAAGTTCATGACTGGATGGTATGGTAAATAAACAAGATTGCTTTTTCTATTTTTTTCATGAATTGCACATTATCATAACATAGTGAAATTGCTTGCAGTGTTGTTTTGTTTCCAGTGGCAGTTACATTTTTAGTGACATGGTGGTTTATTCAGTTTGTTGATGGCTTCTTCAGTCCGATTTACGCCCATCTCGGCATTGACATTTTCGGTGAGATTTCATAGCATCTCTGTATTATGGCTCTTGACTTAATTATTACTAAAGGCTGGTGCACTCACCATCGGCTGCAAGTATGAGTGTTCATTATTATAATTATATTTGTATGTCATGGGGAGCTTGGAATTTCGCATTTTAAATATCGCAATCCTAGTTTAATTTATCTATTTTTATTGTATTTTGTTATTCTGCTGTCTTAATTTTTGTTGTCATGATAGAGTTCTTCACTGATGATGTTATATATGTTTTTTGAACCAGGTCTTGGGTTTGTCACGTCAATCATTTTTATACTTTTCATTGGGATATTTGCTTCTTCGTGGCTGGGTGCCACCGTTTTCTTGGTTGGGGAATGGTTTATTAAGAGAATGCCATTTGTAAAGCACTTATACTCAGCATCTAAACAAATTAGTTCTGCTATTTCTCCAGGTAATTCGTTTTTCAGTTTTGTATGTGCAATCAGCACAGCACTAAAGATGTCTTTATTTAAAGTTGCTATTATGAGAAAAGCAACTATATCATAATTTCAGTGCTCATACTGAAACTTTGTTTTTTCTTGATGAAAGGACTAAAATTGCCCAAGAGAGGGCCACAAAAGGAAATTTTAACACGAAAATGAAAAAAACCAAATACTACATGTTGCTTTACTCTTGTTATTTTATACATGATAATGTTCTGGAGCTTCTTCCGGAAGAACTAGCCTTGGAAGGGGAAGACGCAGAAAATATAAGAGGTGCTTCACAAATCACAAGTTTTCTCAAAGGGAGCTTGGGGGTAATAAACTGCTAAAAATATATTCAACTGTCCAAAATGTATCCTAGTACCTATGTCTCCCAAACAAACAGAAACTTAGTCTTGTTTGGACACTATTTTTGCCATCAGGGATTGATTATTCTAAGGTTTAAATGTCTTATATTTATTGGTCTTTGGACATAATGGATTTTTCAATAGGCGCTGTCGGTAAGAGCCTGTAGAGTTCTTTTGGACCTTGGTTGGGTTTGGTTGTGAATTATCTTTTAGCTAAAGTTTTATTGAGTGGTGAAAACCTGATTTCTGATGGCCCAATTCCTGCTATTGCCTATAGCATATTTTGGTTTTCCACTGCAGTTACTGATATGGAATGAAGCTCCAAGTTAATTTATTTATTTTTGTATGCTCTTACTAACTCTAAAAACCATCCCCCTTTTATCCTGCAGACCAAAATACTACTGCTTTTAAAGAGGTCGCAATTATTCGACATCCCCGTCATGGTGAATATGCATTCGGTTTTATCACATCATCTTTAGTCCTTCAGGTAATCCAATCTAAAGAGGTGAACTGCTATCACTTTGTCTGATGTCTTGTATAAGCTTGGGGACAGAACAATCTTGGATGCAGTCAAAACTTTTTGTCTGTACCCGCTACACAATGACAAATAGGAATTTGGAAGGGAATAATTAATGGAACATCTTTGGTATTCCTTTTCTTCTTTACTGGTCAAGGAAGTTAGCCTCAGCAGAGGCACCTTCTTTAAAGCAAGAAGCTGCCTTTGTTACTGATCTGGTAATTAGAAAAGGTGGTGGCTTAATCTAGTCTTTTGAGGAATTATGCTTTTATAAGAAGAATTTGAAAATTGATATCATGGTACCGACCCTAAATTGCTAGACTTTTGCACTGGGAATAGCCACGAGCCTAACAGGTACAGAAAAGGATGGAATTATTATGGATGTCTTGCTTTTTCCAAAAGACATCAGGTTCCTTGTGTTGCTACTTTAACTTGATTAACTGCAACAGCCACATAACCATCACCAGTCAGTGTAATTGAGCAATTCCTGGAAAAAAGATTCTCTTTCTGAAATTTGGTTTAAATGACACCCCTTAAAAATGTAAATGATGAGGTGCTTTTGCAATGTTTGCTAAAATTTGTAGGTATGAACATTCCCTGATTTTTTGTTGCGTCAAGCATTTCCCTTGAGCTTCTTGCTGATTTTTTTTTGCTGGTTAATTTTAGAGAGAGAATGGGGATGAAGAGTTATGCAGCGTTTATGTCCCAACCAACCATCTGTACATTGGTGATGTATTTCTGGTCAATTCAGAGGAGATCATAAGACCAAATTTATCTATTCGAGAGGGTATAGGTATGATTTTACTGCACAACTCCTGTTTTATTGATGAGACTGTTTTTGCTTCTTTCTCTTTTTTCTGGGTCTGCAACATTAGAATGATCCCTTTGGGTTCTTTTAAATGTTACCAGTTTTTAGGATATCTTCTTAACCCTTGTGCTTTGAAATTTTCTGCTGCCTGCATGCTTGAGGACGCGGTTTACTTTTGAAGTCTTTTTGGTAATAATTTGCATTATCCTTTCACTCTTTTGCTTGACTGACATTTTCTCCTTCTGTTATTCAGAGATCATTGTTTCTATTGGTATGACAATGCCTCAAGTGTTATCTCCTATAGAAAGGATTCCTCATCCGAGCAACAGGCTTCCTCTTAATAGAGTTTGATAAAGGTACTGAAGATAGACAATTCTACAACACAATGTACTGTCTGTTTAACAGTACCTTGTTGAAGTCTTTCTTCCCTTTATCTCATGCAGTGAAACTGTTATTGTCTGACAACATGATAATCAAAAGGAGGCAGCAAGGTTTTTTTTTTTTTTGTGGGGTGGGGGGAGGTGATCTCAGTACTCTATATATGTGTACATTTCTTCTTTAGAATGTGTTATAGTGTAAAGCAACTGTCAAACACACTTCAGTTTTACTCTTCATGAAAGCAGTTTCATTCGTAGGAAATAATGTCAGGGAACTTGTTTTCCATACAAGGATTCTGCTTGTGTCATATGGTGAGTATTAAACTACTTGTCGCTGAATTACTTATTCCTCACCACAATTTTATTAAGATCAGTTTATTTGTATCTCAACTGGATGTGAAGTTCCCTATTAGTTGCTGCTATAAGCTAGGTTATACAGATTGAAAATTGCCACTTGACTATCTCTCCCGCAGTAATTTAAATCCTAGCTAGGCTGTCGCAACGGAGTGCCTATCAATTCTTGCCTCTGGCAATTTCACTCTTACCCTTGCTGCCTGAAAAGCCCTGAACAAATTGCTGTCTTAAAGGGCGGCCCCGTGGAGTCAGGCCACCTTGGTAATAGAACGTTATTGATATAAGCTACTGGAGGAGCTCAGCTGGTTAGAGCGTATGATTGCTAACCTAAAGGCCGAAGGCTCAAACACTTGCTCTAGCGTTCATTTTGCACGCTGAATTTTAGCCTGAAACACTCTAGCAAACGAAGACCTCAACTCAATTAACAGAGCTGTTTTTTCAGCTTTTTTTCTTGACAAATTGTTGGAGGTTCATTAGAAAGCTCAAGTAGAAACCAGCAGTATTTGTTGTGCGCGCTCAAAATGGTCAGATCCCTTTAAAATCAAAGATGATGATAATGATACAGAAACAATGAGACAGTAACAATTTACACATGTATCTTCATTTTTTATTTAACTGACAGGACATCAAACGAACCTCCTCTTCTTTTGTTGTTTCATCTTTGGTTTTTACTTTAAGATGTTGCGTAAGTGTGTGCGTTTGAACTAATCTTCGCTGAGCAGTGGGGGTTTAGTTTCGCAGGCGGTCCACGAGGTAGTTTCTGCCTGGTCTCTCTTTCAATTCTGCTCTTGAGCTCTCTGAGTATCCGGATTTAGGCAAGCTTCTCGGGAGACGGTGTGTCCAGGTTAAAAGAGCTTAGGATAGGTCATGAAAACTACCTCAATCCATTACAAGGTTGTTTTCACTCTGTTGTTCACAAACATCGAGGCTTGGGAATAGACGTATTGGCGAAGATGACCTGGGTGGTAGCGCATATGATGTCTAAAGGAACATCACGAATCAGCAATTTCTCAGCCGGCATGTCATCTGCTAATTGGCAGTCATGCACTGCGAGAATTTTAAGAAAAAAGAGAACATGTAGTTACTGAAGAGTACACCTTTACTGATGCAATAATTCAGTAACTGCAAGTGTAATTCATGTCTGAAACTAAAGGGAGCAAGGGAGAGGCCAGAGCAAGGGTTGTGCCTACCTGAGGAGACAAATGGGGTTGAGTCATCAATAACTCCCACTCCCACATACCGCAGTATCCCGTGTTCAAAAGATGGAGAACGGAGGTAGTTGAATAGAGGAGTTTGATTGAGCGAAAATGGAGCTGATATTCGGGTCAGAGTTTGACTCCATGAGCAGAAATCCAGGTTGTTTAAGGAAACATGTGCTATGCGTGGAATTTTGAGATAGAAGCGATAGGGCATCAATGGCTAACTAACATGAGCAACTTCAAAACCATCAATCTTGTTTAGCATTTACTCATTCATGTATGACAACACTCTTTCTTCTCAAAGAGTTTCTTCTGATGCTGAGGCTCAGGGAGAACCAGGCTTGCAATTTCCCAGAAAATGCACGATTGCTGGTGCGATTACGAAATCATTGGTTAACACACGCACAGAGAGAGAGAGGCAGAAGATGATGAAGAAGAAGAGGTGACCTAAGAAGAACAGTAGATCTTTTGATTGAAAAAAGACGGAGAGCAGAGCGGGAGGAGGGAAGGAGGGGAGGTGGACAACGAGGTAGAGAGTAGATTAGCAGATATCCGAAAGTGGTGAACATCAGGAAAGAGGGAAGAATAAATTTTACGCTGGGGGTGGGGGGACTCAGAATACAACAGAAACGGCCCAATTAGCCTGAATTACAAGAATGTACACCAATGCTACAACATGATCCCCTCAACGAGAAAGGTACCACATTTCTCTCTCCCTACTCTTCAAAACTGACCAAATCTGCAAACATGAACTCTACTCCTGATATTAAATGAACATTCCTAGGAAAAAAAATGTGAGCGAAAAAGATGATAAATGAAAGAGAATGAACATCCACCAGTAGGAAAGCAATGAACCCATTACAAGAGAAGAGAGTAGGAGCTGTCACCAACATGTGAATATCCTGGCCAAGCATGAATCCTCAAGAATTATTATTTCCACAGCAAATCCTTAACACTGCTTTTCTTTTAGTGGTTCTCTCTAATGGATTGTAGCTGGGAGAATGAGATCCGGACTATTGACCCAGCAAGTGAAGTAGCATGCTTGCACACAAGGGCTTCAGTAGCCTCCTCCTCGGTTTCAAACAGAACAAGGGCTTGCTTCTTCCCATTCATCTCAAAGAGCTTGGTGTTCACAATGGTCCCGTGTTCCTCTACAAGATTCCCAATCTCCTCCTCAGTGATGTCCTGAGGTAAAGTGGAAAGATGAATCATCTTTGTTGGTGAGCAGCAGTATCGATAGTTCTTCGCAGCATTACGGTTGAAGCGATTCAGATTAGAGTGCATGTACTCGTGCGTATCAGAACCTTGAGTTATGTTTGGATGCTTTGAAAAGTTGACCTCCAATCGCTTTCCAAAAAGCATGGCACCCTGTTCCACATATGAAAGAACATAAATACTGTTCATTGAGACAAGAAAATGTGATATGGAGGGAGAACTTAGATCCTACAAAAAATAATAACAAAGTAATGAATTCTGCAAAAGCTTCATAGAGTGAACCTTCAAAAAATGTACTGCCAACTCTGCTTGGAAACCATCCCCCATCTGAACAAGTGCATGGTCGGGCTTGTTGCGAAGAAGCTTAATCCGCACTATGTTTCCATAGAGAGAAAACAGGTTGAACAGCTTATCCTCATCTATTCTCTGGGCACACAAACATTTTTCTTGAAGGAATATCAGGACTATTACAAAAAATATAAATTCAAATAGAATGAAGATATCATAATAGACTCACATCAGGATTTAAATTGGAGGCAAGAACCGTGCATCTATCATTTGTCCCACTAATTCCAGGAGGCAAACCTCCACCAAAGGCAGCAGCAATTGCCGCTGCATTAGGGATCTAAAAAAATTTCAAAAGAGATCAGATGTGTCAAATCATATCACATCTTAGAACATTTCAGCATATACAAAATGAAACTAACTTTAGGCAAAAAAGCTTGCATGTTTAAGATATTTCAGCAATTGAAGAAGTTGACGTCTTATTGAGGCTAAACCATGGATCACACGTTATTTTATGATAATTCTTACAGAAATGAAGTGATTTTGGTTACAAATAATTGTTATGTTATATAAACCAGGGGAAATGGTGAATTTACTACCCAGTAATACCTTATATTCCACAAACACAAAATAAAGCTCAGAAAATAGCAAAGATAAACAAGATTTACAAGATGGAGATCTTTGAGGTGTCTTTCATGCCTTGCCATTTCCATTCTATCATTTCTTATTTTCCAGGAAAAAAGGTGTGGAAGAAGGGTCACATTAGAAAACAGCATACACAGTGAGGTGTTTCCAGTTACAAGTTGAGAGGAAAACATAAAAATACCAATGGTGGGGAAGGCAACAAGGCAAATAGATAAGATTGACGTCCCAGTTCAAGTTCCCTAAAATTGATCAATAGCACCGTGATTCCAACATATACTTTACTTTATCGTTTTCAGATTTCAACCCTAGCTGTTATTTCTGGTAAACAGTTCACAAAACAACCAGCTGCAAACTGCAACCTAGGAAAGGTTGAAATCAATTAGGCAGGCCATTGCTATTAATACAAAAAAATAAAGAAAAATAAATGATAGTGGTCTATGGTCAGCAGACATCCTGAATATTACAAGTGGATGATAAATAGTCCTTACAGTGTAACCGTAGCAATACCCACCTGAGGATATCCAACTGCATGGGGAAAAGGATAAAAAAAAAAAAAAGAGTTAATTCTCAAGGAAAGCAAAGAGTAACAGCTCATTGTAACCTCCAATCAGTAGTTTTAAGAGCATGCATACCTACATCACCATATGCTGGCTGCTGCAAAAAGAAACAGAAGAGAACTTAATAATACAAATCACCTATCACCAACAAACATGTTAATTCAAGCAAAATATAACAAGAGACCAGTACATACTTGGGAAGATCTGCCTTTCTGTTCTGAAGGCAGGTTAGGATTAGTGAAATCCCTGTGCAGATGAAGATACAGTGTTTAGCAACACTGACAGGAAAAACATTGAAAATACAGAAGTCAAACAAAGGGCGACCCACTCACCTTGAGCGGTCATTGTTGTAGTTCACTTGCAGCTCGTCCAGGCTAGATGACAAATATGGAAAGTACAATAATAACACCAGAGGAAAAGGACAAAAAAGAATCAGAAATCATATGTTTCAGCGGTCTCAAGAATAATACCCCCCCCCCAACCCCAAACACACACACACACAACCACGGCCACTAGTGTATGTCCATTACATACTTTGAAAACTGAATGTCCAGCTGACAGCAGCCATCATAGATATTGCGTCCCTACCAAAACAGCCAAGTTTCAAAAAACTCTTAATAAAAATCAAGTCAAGTGCTACACTTTGAAAACAAGCTTGCAGGTGAAAGTAACATCTGGAATGACAAATTGAAAAGTACCTGAAGAGAAGTCCTAGCCTGAACAGCACACTGGCGTGACTGGTACTGGATAAGGGCTTGAAAACCTAAAAATATGCAAAAAATTCATGGATGACACTTCAAAATCACAGTCCTGTGCGTGTTTGATACAAAGCATAAGACAAATCCACAGAGCACTCGGAGTAGACAGTTAAGAAACAGAAAAAAACAGATGTTACTCAACTACAAAACTATCAGTGGTTCAATTGGAATGCACAAAAGTAAATACCATAGTTAACACATGTGTAAACTAAAATTCTTAAAAAGAAAATTGAGACAGAGGAGAAGGGGGAGAAAAGAAAACATGAAGAAGCTGACCAGCCGACTTCTGAAACGTGACAATCTTCTCCACAAATCCATGGGGAGAAAAAACTTGATGCAGCACTTCCACTGTAATAGGATAAAGCATGTGATGTATTGTAACTAACAGAATTCGATTTGGCTGCGCATCCAGAGTGCCCGACAGCAGACCATCATAGAGACAGAAGAGAGAAGAGAATAAATAGAGAAGCACAGATAGCAAGAAGAGATATATGGAAAAATAGTTAGAAGAAAGATCAAACAAAACAGATCATTTGTAGTTGATGATTCAACATGAAGGAAGCATATAATCAACAGCACTTAAAGAATAACATGAGAGATGCCAAAACAAAGTTCGAGGTATGAAAAGTCCAAAGGGGGGAAAATTAGTTACAGTTTATAATAGAGATGTAATTAACTTTCTATGCTCCTGTGCAGCTGGATCAAATCATCTGATATAGAAATGCATAAAACTTGGTAGACATACTAGGGCTATATTATCTCTACATTTTACATCAAATTAAGCAGATATAGTGGATGATCCGCAATAAACACGGAAACAAAAAATCAAGGTGGAAGAAAAAAATCCATGGTCACCGTCAGTTTCTTATTGGGGATTGAAGAGACTAATGATGATTCTCCCCTTATATTGGGCTTTCTGGTTATAAACATTTTCCATTAACCAGAAACACCACACCCCGACTACAAGAACAATCACCACTCCATCTTAATGCCACTGTTACCCTTAACCACTGGAAGAAGAAAAAAAACCAACTCTCCAGTCAGCCACTAGTTGATAATAAAGAATCCTTTTCATCAACTAGCACAACCCCCCTGGTTGCTCTTTTCTCTCCCTGCAGTTTCAAAAGAAGGGAAAGGAGCCGTACATAATTCTAGTCTCTATGATGATACCCTCAATCAGAACACCAGGTGTCTCTTTCCTTCCCAATTAATGAACCATTCACCTAATCAACGAAGCCTGAATAATTCAAGGCCATATCATGCTGACCATTTATAGCTATTGGATCAGTGTATCATCCAAACATCTAAGTAATGATTAATTTCTGCATGATAGACTTTTGTACTGGCAGCAACTAAGCCATTTTAGTATGAGCAGACTGAAATAACCCACTGTAGCACTCTTAAGGCTCAACATGGAACTGCGGAAGCTTCTAGCTCTCCACCTATATGGATTGCAAAGTATTGCTATCAACAATGTAACAACATTTGGTTTTTAGTGTAGTAGAATACAAAGTACCCACCTCGTCTCCTCGCCCTTGAGTATTTTGATCCATTGTAGTAAGTTCTTGATGTGATGAGAATTGAACATAAACATTCCTTCCCCTAGAAGAAGAAGCAGAGATTAAACACATATTCAAGTAATCTGTCTGGAATGTTTGGTAGAGGTCATTATACAAAATTGATGATGATGATGAAACATCCTAGCAGAAAGTTCTGAAAGGGAACCAAATACAAAATCTTGGTTACCTTATGGTTGGCTGAATGTTTGTATAGAGTTGGAGAGCATTGATAGCTGAAGGAACATCTTGCATTTGAAGGAGAGCCTGCATGCATGGCAAGCATATCAGACCACATCACATTCCAGGTTCTGTAAAGTTCTAATGTGTTAATAATCACCACCATTCAATAACCATTCGAGAAACCTGATTTTTAGCACGAAGCATAACAAGCTTTGTTATAACCCCGAATGGCTGGAACAGCTGAAGCAAGTCATTCTGTGAGAACAACAAAATATCATCAATGATGCATGTATGTAAACATGTACAAAAAGACCATTCCATTATTCATTACCGCTAGTGAGCTGTTTCCGGTTATCACTGTGTTTTGAGACATGCAAAGCTTCCAGGTACTTAGGAGACAACTCCACACGATGTTTCACTTACTTTGGAAAAATGGCCAACAAAACCAGAACATCTAGGATGAATTTTATTAATGCTAAGATTTTATCAAATAAGATAATTAAGCACACTGTTCATAACAAAGCCATCCTGAACTTCATCCCATATGGTAAATTATGCTAAGGTTAGACTTTGCTATTAGGAGCATCAGATTTAGCTCATCCTCAGCATTAACAGCTAAGTTTGTGCTGTGCATCTTTGTCATGCCACTAGGGTAACTCCAGGTATTCTAAAGAGACGAGATAACACATAATACGCAGATTGCAGATTTCTCTGTTGCCTTTCTGTGTTTTGATAGAATACATGCCTTCTCATCTGTCACATTTAGGAAGTATAACATCTCCTGATTCGTTTCAGAAGTAAGTTTTTTATCTTTTTTGAGTTCATTAAACATTACCACATGCAGAAATTGAAAGGGTTGTAACTCATGTCTTTGCAATTTTCTCGACAAATCCTCATCACCCCATAAAGAATTACTGAATTTTTTTGTTCACATTTTCCAAGGTGTTCTCCTCTATCCAAATTAGCATGAGGAAATATAAAACTTTCCTTCCTATGCTACTAATGGAAGCTAATGAGCACATAGATACAAAAACGTTGACTCGGAAGCCATCCGATTCAGCATAAGCAAAAGGAAATTTAATGTCTCTAGCTATTAATAGAAGTGCAATCTGTCTTTAAAGACCAACTTCCAAAAAAGCATCATTCCCCGTGATACGTTTTAACAGGTATAAAGACATTAGGATATATACACTAGTTACTTCAAACCCTTAAATTACAACTTCTGATCATTTGTGTGCAAGCACGTGAGAGAGAGATAGAGAGTATACTTCAGAAATTTCATGCCCCACGTTGCGAACATGTATAACTTTGGAAGGCTCAGTCATTTTTTAACAACCCTGCAAAACCATCACCAAAGTTGATCCATGATCCATGATTTCCATTCTCAAAGAAAAAACTCATTCAAGGTTTCTCACATGAAATAAAAGCAGCTCAAAAACAAAACTCATTCACATGCAAAATGCTCGCATTATGATCGATCAACATGAATTATCTTCTACTGTTTTTTGTCATTTGAAGCCAGCAAAGCAGCACTAAATCATGAATTACAGACAGCTTCTTCAGAAGCACAAAACTTGTTAAATGATTACAGATTCTCCACTCCAATCCATGTGCAAATCTTAATAAATGTATTTATTTAAGAACCTAATTATCCAAATGCAATAAAACATTTAAACCCTGTGTCACTAAAGGAGTAACATGGCTGCAAGCAAAAGTAGTCAAATTCGAAACCCTAACTACCGGTCTTTTTGGAAGCTGAGAAATAACAGATATTGAAACGAAACAAAAACATGAAGCAAAAAAGTCGAATCTAAAAAACATTAGCTAAAACAAACTCATCGAGCGCTATCAGCTATTTCAGATTTTCTCAGTTACCAAACAGACCCGTGCACATTCATCGAGTGCGATCGAAAAATACAAGAAAGAGAAATAGAGAACTTGCCTGGGAGCGAAGGGGAGAGAGAAAGATTGTTCTGTAGAGAAAGAAGAACAGAGGGGGTGAAGGAGCAGAAGTGCTATGTAGATCGACTGCAACGCAGGCACGTTGTCCCGTCTTTGGTGTTAGTGGCTATTTTGCCCTATCGTCCGCCTGTTTAAAATGTTTGTTCTTTGGACTTTGGAGTAAAAGTAATGGTGGACCCCTCGAGTTCAGTATGGGACCCATATTATCTTCTACTGTTTTTGCTATTTTTTGCGTACCCTCGGTATAAAGAAAAAATACAGTTATTTTTTTATTTTTTTATAAGAAATCTCTGAGATTTTGGATGCTGTTGAAATGATGCGACAACCTTTATGCTTTAAAAATATTTTAAAAAAAGTAAAAAATATATTTTAAATTAATTTTTTTATATTTTTATATTATTTTGATGTATTTATATTAAAAATAAATTTAAAAAATATTAATTTAATATATTTTTAAATAAAACAATATTTTAAAAAGCAATTAACAATCATCTTTAAACTATTAGAATAAACTGGGACAAGATACTCATGAATATTTAAGATTTAAAAAAAAAGTGTTTGGTAATAAAAAAACATTGAAAATATTTTATGAGATTAATGTTATTATTTATAATGGTTGATTTAACAAGATGTTAAATTAGGATTTGAATTAAATGTGGTTAAGAAATGAATGCATTTATGTAGCTTAATGACTAGTGTGGAGATACGGATACATGAATGATTTGAGCCCAGGTGATGAGCCCATTCACATTTCTTATTTTAGGATGATTTTTTAGAATTTTAGGAGCTAAAAGAAATATTTTCATTTTTTTATTTTTTTCCCAACACTATCATGTGCCGGTGTAGTTGTTTGTTTTTAGAAAATAACTTTCTTTTTAATCTTTTGTTGTGTTATTTAAAATTATTGTTGTTTTTGAATTATTAAAGTTGTGTTATTTAAAATTATTGTTGTTTTTAAATTATTAAGTGTGATTGTGATTGTTTTTTAAATAATTTTTATATTACAATACATGTCAATAATATTTTTTAATCTTTTAAAAATTATTTTTGACATCAGCACATCAAAATGATTTGAAAACGCTAAAAATATATTAATTTAAAGTAAATAAAAAAATATAAATTTATTTTTTTTCAAAAACCCTTTTAAAATGCAAAAACAAACAAGAGCTCAAAGCAAGATCAAGAATATATGAAAGAAAAATTATAGTAAATAAATACAGAAAAAAAACCGGTTGGTAACGCAACATGAGATCTAGTTTGTGTTCATTGATACATAATGTTTTTTAATTAAAAATATATCAACATGATTTTTAATACTGAATATTAAAGTGAATATAGGCATACAACGTTTGTTTTACTTTTACATAGATAAATTTGCAAAACTTGTTTAATATTTTTTATATTAATATACTAAAACAATTAAAAAATTAATTTAAAACTAAAAAAATCAAGAATTTTCAATAGCATGGTTGGCTGTAATGCTAAACAAAGTCTTACACGTCAATGTTTAGGACTACAACACAAATTGTTTTTTTAATATATTTTTTACTTGAAAATATACTAATATAATATTTTATTTATTTTAAAAAAATTATTTTTAACAACAACACATTAAAACAATAAAAAAATATAAAAAATAACTTAGAATAAAAAAAACAATTTTTTAAAAGCTTTATTGAAATACAAAAACAAACCTTACTTGTGAATAATTTATTTTTTACCAGACCAAATATATGAATTAGTATAAATAATATATAAAATCCAATCTTAAATGAGGTTGATAAATACACAAAAACATCGGCATTGATAGATAAACACCACTCAAGGTGTAGAAGAGTGTAAACTTTAAAAAAAAAAACATTGAAGTAGAAAATGTATTTTTCTCACTTGAATGTTACAAATACAAGGTTTATGTTTATAAGGTTTCGGTACAGCATAATAATTTTAACAAAAAAAATCTTATCAACATGTAAAATCTAACAGAAGACGTGGGGTATGTCAAATCAGTTGGTCTTCCTAATCTTCTTCCAAATTTTCATCTTGTTAATAGCTACAATTGCTTAATTTGCTGGGTATTTTCATATTTTCCTCTACACACCCCCTCAATCTGAAGGGAAGAGCTCAGACATTCAGATTGACCAAAGTATTTTGAAAATTGCATGGATACACTGGTTTTGTCAGTGAATTAGCAAGCTAATCTTTAGTAGAAATGAATTGAATCGTAGGTTGCTTTCTTTGAACTTGATCATGTACACAATGAAAATCAATTTTGATGTATTTAGTATTGACATAAAACATATGATTAGCAGTCAAGTACATGGCTCTAATATTATCACACCGTAACATTAGGGGGGTTGGAATTTTTAAGCCAGTTTTAGATCAAATTGATTGTAACCATTGGAGTTCCGAGGTAGTGTTTGCAAGAGATTTATATTTAGCTTCTGTGCTATTACGGGCAACTGTAAATTATTGCTTGTAACGCCATGAGGTAAGATTGTTGCCCATGAAAACATAATAAGCACTTATTAAATGTCAACCATCACTATTACCTACCCAATCATAATCTGAAAAAGGTTGAATAGCAGGGTTAGGAAACCGACTAGGAAATAGTCCCGTTGACATAGTTTTTATAAGATAACTTAGTATTATTTTTTTTATCACTTGCCAATGTGGCTCTAACAAGTTATGCATAAACTTGCTTACTTTGTGAACCGAGAATGAAAGATCAGGTCGAGTAAATGTCAAATATTACAGGCTACCAACAACTTGTCTATATAGAAAAGGATCCAAAAACCTAGCTACCTCAGTTGCAGATAGGTGACAAGTAATTGATATAGGACTTGCACATGGTTTTGCTTCTTCCATGTAAATGCGGTTTAGGAGTCCAGCCATATACTTTCTTTGAGTGAGATACATACTATCAGTTAGGCGCAAGACCTCCACCCCCAAAAAGTAGTTAAGATTATCAAGCTCTTTAACAACAAAATTTGAATGTAAGTTTTGAAGTACATGATGCATGACAATACTAAAATTGCTTGTGATGATAATATCATCAACATAAATAAGAATTGCAACTAGAACATCATTCTTGTGCCAGACAAATAAAGAATGGTCTAACTTGCTAACACGAAATTCAATCACTGTAGTTTATCTGTTAGATGAAAAAACCAAGCTCTTGGAGCTTGTTTCAAGCCGTAGATTAACTTATGTAGTCTACAAAGATGATTAGGATATTGGAGATTTATATAGCCTCGAGGTTTGGCCATATAGGATGATTAGGATATTATAGAGGGAAATGTGGAATTGCTCAGCAAATTAAGTAACTATAGCTATCAACAAGAGAAAAATCTGTAGGAAGATTAGGAATACCAACTGATCTAATCTACCCCATGTTTTCTGCTTAATGTCAAATGTTAATAAGATTTTTTATTAAGATTATTATGTTGTACCCAAACTTTATAAAAAGTAACCTTGTATCTGTAACATTCAAGTGAAAAAAAATACATTTTCTACTTCATTGTTTTCTTTAAGTTTACATGATATCAGAGCTACAAAAAGACTAACGTCTTATCATGACCTCCTCTCCTTTCTCATCCACTACAATCCTTAACTCTTTATCTTTGATCCCTACAATAATTTCAATCTTTAATATTGTTTCACTCAAGTTGAGTAGTTGCATATCTTCCACTACAAGAGTGTACAAGACTTAATTTTAAAATGCTAAAGAGCTAAACCGCTATTTAAACGGCGGTTAGAAAATTAAAAATGATAAGGGTTTGTTTGTTTTTATGTTTTAAAAATGTTTTAAAAAAAAATTAAATGTTTTATTTTTTTCTTTGCTTTGAATTAATAGTTTTTAGTGTTTTTAGATTATTTTGATCTACTGATTTCAAAAATAATTTTTAAAAAATAATAAAAAATATTTTAATATATTTTTAAATTAAAAATATTTTAAACATCAATCACAATTATAAATGAGTTGGCTTTGGAAGACATTGAAGGTAGAAATGGAGCCTATCTTTGTTTTTCTCTCGCCAATCAACTCTCTGTGTTCCTCTCATCTCTCTACATACAGGAACTGAGAAGATGAAAGTGATCAAAAGTTGTTTTCTAATACTTTAAAAGGCGTAAAATTCACAACAACGACAGCATGGATAGCAAAAGAATAATGGAGTATTAAAATGATTATAGATATATAATATTTCTTTTAGTTTTCTTGTAGATAAAATTGCAAGCCTTCTACCACTGTAATACAGTGAGAGTTGACTTGACTGGGTACATTTTCTACTTGGTAATTATTGTTCATTCCCTGAGAAATTAAATTCTCACGAATTTTCTAACCCCAAGTAATTTCCTGTTACCAAGCTAGATATACGAGAGTGCAGCATCAACCAGTTTGTGTGCCTGCATTATATTGTGAGGGAAAACACTTTTTAAATATATATATAAAATATTTAAATCTCAAAAACTTTTTTAATATTATTAATAAACTAGAAAATATATGAATCTTTTTTTTATTAAGATAATTTTGTTATTAACTTGTCTCCTGTTTATATTAGTAAAATAAGATTATTAACTTGAATCATTTTTTTTAAATATATATATATATAATATTTAAATCTCAAAAACTTTTTTAATATTATTAATAAACTAGAAAATATATGAATCTTTTTTTTATTAAGATAATTTTGTTATTAACTTGTCTCCTGTTTATATGAGTAAAATCAAGATTATTAACTTGAATCATTTTTTTTTGTTATGTATATATATGATTAGCTATTTTGAAATTCCCTATGAAATAAGACACTATAAAAAAATTCCAAAAGTTACAAAGAAAATTTTAAGTTTATATTGGTCATGAATTAAAATAAAAATTAAATTTTATAAGGTATAATCTCTCGTTGTTTCTCAATAAACAACACAATAATATCAAAATAATATATTTATATTTTACATATGATCGAAATTAAAAATTATAAATATAATAAAATCATATTTCAAAACTATTTAAGAGTTTTAAGAATAAAAAAACAGTTGGAATTGATTTTTCATAAATAATTTGTTATTAGTATTATTAATTTAATATTAGATACACAATAATTCAAATAATATATTAGAATTCAAATAAAAAATTATAATAGTAATTAGAAAACATGTTAAAACTATAAAGTAACTAAATTAATAAAAAAAATTAAATGTAAAAAAAGAAAGAAAAAGTAAAGCCCAATGCCTAACCTGCTAGTAGTAGGATAGACACATACGGGCCTTGCTTTATTTTTCACACCTCATTTGTTTGACAAAAAAATATATAAATAAGTTGTTTATTTGAAACCCGCAATCTCGCACTTCAGTTTTATGCTAACCAACTACTCTACGACATGAAATTAATATCATATAAATTAAACAATTATATTTATATGTTTTATTTATTTAAATAAATAGTAAAACTCCTAATAGAACTCTGTTGTTTTATAGATGCAGGGTAATATGCAAAATTTGACCATAGATAAGGTTATGTGATGTATAAAGGGGTCTCGTCTTGCATTATAGTGGAAGATTTTTTAAAAATAATTTTTTACTTAAAAATTTATTAAATTTAAAATTTTTAGTTTTTTTATTTTTAATATTAGTAAATTAAAAATATAAAAATTAATATTGAACTTAATATTTTTTGAAAATAAAAATATTTAAAAAAATCTAAAAAGAAAATAAAAGAAAACGTCAAAAACATCAACGTGGATGGATAAACATGATTCGAGGTGCAAGAAAGTAGGTGAGATATTAGACCTGAAGTTTCAAGGCTTCTAGAATGCTCCTGGGATGATTTAAGTAGATGCGTAGAACGGGGATTTTAAAAAAAAAAAAAAACGAGATTTGCTATTGAATAACTGTGAACCCGAATTTCAACGGATTTTCTCTCGCTTGCAACCTGTTTTACTCTCATCATAGCTTTACATCCTGTTTCACCTACTATTTTATTTGCACAACCGCTTGGAATCGTTTATTTACTGAGAAGCAATTATTTTTTCAAAAGTAAATTCTAGAATAGTAAATTTTATAAAAGTAAATTATTTTTTTATATTTGATAATTTAATAAAAAATAAATTGAAAAATATTTTTAGTATTTAGTTATGCTATAAAAAATAAATTAAAAAATAACTTATTAATATTTTATTTTTTTCAAGCTTATTAGAATAAATGAGAAACAAATCTTATACTTATTAAAATAA